TGAGCTTTTTCTACAAAAAGAGCCCTGCCGGGATATTTAACAGGCCAAAAACCTCCGTGGGATTTTCAAATATGTCCTTTAGGAATGAGATACGTGTGTGTGTTTAACTCCTGACCCCCTCTCATTTCCATAAGAGGGGGTCCCAGCAGCTCATGCAGAGTGTCGTGAGCTTGTCTGGGCCCCATTGTGACAGCATGCGCCCCCCCCATCATTCCTCTTTGCTCATTCATTTGACCCCCACCCCCGACGCACTGTGCCGTCCAGTCGCAGCAGGATCGGACCGACCACGTCTTCCAGCTGGCCCCTGACCCCTCCGTGCCTTTCTGTCCGCAGGAGCGTCCTCGGCAGACAGACCTGCCTGGAGTGCAGCTTCGAAATCCCGGATTTCCCCAACCACTTCCCCACCTACGTCCACTGCTCGCTCTGCCGCTACAGCACCTGCTGCTCGCGCGCCTACGCCAACCACATGATCAAGTAAGCGCTGCGGGATGAAATGACAGGCCTGGCGGAGGGGCAGGGGGTACACCGTGCAGCTTTCCCGAAGCCGAGAGAGAGAGCCGTCCTCGCCGTGGTCTCCTCTGCCCTGCGCCCTTCCAAAAGGGGCTGACGACGTCACCCTGCAAGACCCCGACGGGGCTGCGATTGGCGCCGGGAGGGGAGGGGACTGGAAACTGGCCAGCTGCTGCTTGCGCGTCTGAGCGCTGTCCAGGAGGCCTGGAGCGCCCCAAGAGGAAGGCCTGGGGGGGGGGGGAAGAAAAGTGACCCTGGGGACGCAGGAGCCGGCCGGGATCTACGTGGGGGCGCCTTGGCAGCTGCTGCAGAAGCACACCAGAAGGTAGCCTCGCCTACTGTAGAAAGAAACCTGGAGCCGGCCCTGATTACAGAGGCACAGGGGTATAGCAAAAGGGTCTCCTGCCATCTGGCAGCCAGCCTCTTGTATCTGGTGGTGTCTCCTCGGGATTGGAGAGGGAAGACCGTTTGATCCTTGGGCATGACCCCAGCAGGCTGGAATGCCTGGCCTTGACCTGGGGTGGTACAGAAGGGGGGTGGGTGGGCTTCGAGCGGGGTCAGGCTGCGAGTCCATCACGGTGGTCACATTTTGCCTTTGTTCTGTGCTTTGTCCTTCCGAACAGCAACCACGTTCCCCGCAAGAGTCCGAAGTATTTGGCCTTGTTCAAAAACTACACCGTCTGGTAAGGCAGAATCCCTCCCAAGTGCATCGCTGCCTTCCTGGCAGGGCCCGTCTTTCTTTCTTTCTTTCTTTCTTTCTTTCTTTCTTTCTTTCTTTCTTTCTTTCTTTCTTTCTTTCTTTCTTTCTTTCTTTCTTTCTTTCCTTCCTTCCTTCCTTCCTTCCTTCCTTCCTTCCTTCCTTCCTTCCTTCCTTCCTTTCCTTCCTTTCAAAAACTACACCGTCTGGTAAGGCAGAATCCCTCCCAAGTGCATCGCTGCCTTCCTGGCAGGGCCCGTCTTTCTTTCTTTCTTTCTTTCTTTCTTTCTTTCTTTCTTTCTTTCTTTCTTTCTTGTCACACACCTTCAGACCAGTGTTCCCTCTAAGCTGAGTTAGTTTGAGCTAGCTTACAGGTTTTTAGACTCCGGCTCACAGATTTTTGTCTCCGCTCAGGAAGGAGGGCCCCAGAGCAGACTCATGTATGCAGTAGCCAAATGGCTCGCTCGCAACTTGAATGCTAGTCAGCTCACAAAGTAGAATCTTTGCTCACGAGACTCCACAGCTTAGAGGGAGCATTGCTTCAGACTGGTTTAGTGGTTGGGTACTAGACCCCAAAGAACCCTGGGAATTGTAGTTTTTGTGAAGGGGGCTATAGAACTGCAAGTAGAGACTTCTCAGCCTCCTCGCTGTGTGGCTAAAGGGCAAGTCGAGTCTCCTTAGGGCAGACCTGACCCTGCTTAGCTTCCAAAATCTGATGAGATCAGACTAGCCTGAGCCATCCACGTCAAGGCAAGAGAAGAACAGAGGAGGTTTGCCCTTGCCTGCCTCTGTGTCGCGACCCTGGACTTCCCTGGTGGTCTCCCATCCAAGTACTAACCAGGACCGGCCCTGCTTAGCTTCCAAGATCTGCTGAGAGTTGGCTGTCCAGTTCAGGGTATTCTCCTGATTCCAATACTGCAATTATCAGGCTTTTTTGTGGGTGGAAGAATGCCCAAAACTGGTCAAAAACTGCTGTGTTGGTAGTAAGAATACACAAAACATTTTATGACCTTAGGGCTGGATGAGACTAAAAAAAATCCTAAAGGAGCTGAAGGTAAGCCTTAAAATAATTAAACAGTGGTTCCAGGGAAGAACAATGAAGGAACAAAAGAAAAGGTGATGGTGGGATTCCCCCCCCCCCCCCGATCCCTTTTTTTTAACGGCAGGTCTTGTGCAAGGAGAGGAAATGCTACACCATTCACAAAGTAGATCTTTGTGGTTCAACCCAAGCTTGTGATTGGGGTGTGCAAAAAACCCCACACACAACCCAGTTTTTTCCCGACTTGGGTCTATTGGACGCGAAAATACCAGTATTCCCGAATACCAGTATCAGTATTTTACTGTTATTAGGGTCAATATTTGGAAACCCGGATTTATTCGGCTCCATTATATCCTATTGGGACTGTCCCCAAAGGGCATGATGGAGAATTTCACTCACCAAGTCGTGCTGCTGCCACGGCATGACTCCACAAGTAAAGGGAAGTTATTTAAAGTTTAAATGCCTTCCCTTCCCTCCTGGAGTTTTGCCACCACTCTGGCAAGACTGCAAGAGAAGGGAAGGCATTTAATGTTTAAATCACTTCCATCACAGAGTCGCGCTGCAACTGTGGCATGTCTCTGAGAGTGAAGGGAGGGCATTTGAGTCATGCCCAAATAAAAGCCGAATAATGTTGGCTTTTATTTGGGCGCAGCTGCTTCAAGTAGCTGAAAACAGATCTCTGATCTGTATTCAGCTGAAGTCTGTTCAGTATATTCGGCTGTTCAGCATATTCTGTTCAGTGTATTTGGCTGAATCCCGTTCAGTATATACCAAGTGTATGCCTGTACTTGTGGTTTTCTTTTTTAAAATATTAATTTCTTAAAGCAGGACAAATTTGGATTTTTCCTTGGAGGGGGGAGAATTCTGAGGTTCAGACTTGAAAGTTCTGGGGGGTTGCCCAAGTGCTTGTCATATGACTGGCCTCTTAAAAAAAATAACCATATTTGAGTCCAGCAGCACCTTGAAGACGAACGAGCCTTTTTTGGGTGGAAGCTCTGCTTTGACTCTTGAAAGATTCTACCCTCGAAAATCTTGTCCGTCTTCACGGACCTGCTGGACTCAAATCTGGCTCCCCTCCCGCCCGAAACTAACCCAGGCATTTCAATGCCGTCATCAGGATCAGTTCTCAAGTCCACCGCAATGAATGCCAGATCCTTAAAAAAGATATTTGAAATGAGTTCTCAGGATACTAGTGAGCGCCCCAAGAATCACAAAAAAAGGGGGCAGCGCTTCCCACTGTGACAGGATCTGTCATGCAGCAGCAGGGGCCAGATGTATGGTCAGTGAGTGGGTCTTCTGTAGCGGGGTGAAGTTTGGGAACAGCTGCGTGTCATGGCTCCCAGCCCTACCACTTTCAAACAGGGCCCCCTTTTTTCTCTCCTCTCCTAGTGGAGTGCGGCTGGCCTGCTCTGCCTGTCTCTTCTCAACGTCCGAAGGTGACGCCATGGCCAAGCACCTGGTCTTCAACCCCTCGCATGAGTTCAGCAATATCGTAATACGAGGTAAGGGCTTGGAGGAGACGCAGACCCCCGCCTGGCTTTCCCTGCTGCGTCTTCCCCTGGCACTACCATGATTGAGTGGTGCAAGCAAGCCAGAAAGTATTCCCTTCTCCTTGTCCCTCACCTTCCGCAGGAGGCGAGGAAGGAAAAAGAGAGAAAGAAGACTCCCTGTTATTTCAAGCCCAGTTTGTGGCCCTCCCTGGCTCACATTTTAGACCTCCCCCTCATTGGGTCATAAGAACGCAAGAAGAGCCCTGCTGGATCAGACGAACAGTCCATCTAGTCCAACATCCTGTCTCACACAGTGGCCAACCAGTTGCTCTGGAGGGCCAACAACAGGGCAGAGAGGCTGAGGCCTTCCCCTTAATCACTCACTGTGTAAAGAAGTATTTCCTTTTGTCCGTCCTGAACCTACTGCCCATCAGCTTCACTGGATGCCCTCGAGTTCTACTCTTTTGGGAGCGGGATAAAAATGTATCTTTGTCCACTCTCTCCACCTCATGCATAATTTCATAAACCTCTATCATGTCCCTTCTCGGTCTTCTCTTGTTTAAACCAAAAAGTCCCCGACTCTTCAGCCTTCCCACATATAGGAGATGCTCCAGTTTCTTTAAGCACAAATTGACCCCTTGTTTTCTGTAGCAATCCTAACATCCTGTTCTCTCTCTCTCTTTCTAACAGGTTCTACCTGGACTTCACTTCCAAGGTAAATCTTTCATAGTTGCTCATTGGGCAGATTTTGCAGCTCTGCTGCTAGGGGTATGCACCCCCCAAAAATTGGACTTTTTCGGATTCAGATCTACCGAACCCAAAAATTTTTGGTATTTGCCAATATTCTCGAATTCAGGAATTATCAGACAAGCCGAATTTATTTGGCTCAATTATACCTTATGGGGACTGTTTCCTATCATTGAACTGAAGGCAAATGGCCTTCCCTTCAGTAAAGGGAGCATTCCACCTCTGCAGCATGACAGAGGTTTAAAGTTTAAATCCCCCCCCCCCCCCCCCCCCCCCCCAACGGGGGCAAACCGCCTACAAGAAATTTAAACCACCCCCCCCCCCCGGTCATGCTGCAGAGGTGACAAACTCTTGAAGGAAAGGCAGTTTGCCTTCCCTTCAGCGATGGGAGCCCGCTGCCCCCCAAGCTACTTGAGGGGGGAGGCATTTTAAATGCCTCCCTGTGCCTTCCTTGGCCCACCCACCAAAGCGGGCGAGCTGGGAAAAGCTTGGAGGGACACACACACACACCCCGGTGCCTTCCCTGGAAGTAGTGGGGAGGCATACCTTCCCTTGGCCAGGGAGTTACTCTGCTGAGGTGGCGCAAGCCCCAGAAGCAAGGGCAGGTATTTAAACACTTTCCCTTCCCTGCCCAGCAAAGGAGAATCCCTTTTAGGCCAGCTGAATCAGATTCCCTAATAATGCCCAAATAATGAATAGGCATTATTCGGTTTGTTTTTTGGTTCGTCCGAACTGAATGCACATCCCTATCTGCCACCCATCCCACAGGCAGAATGTTTCTTTTTCCTTGCAAAGAACGAGTCTGATCTTTCTCTTTTTCCTTCCCTCAAAGGCACAGCCAGCCTTTGGACAGAGGTGTGACAGCACCAGCCTCTACTCTCCCCCCAAGCGAAGCCGCTACTGTGAACACACAATCTCCTCCGCCCGAGGAGGAGAAGAACGAGGCGGCACCTGAGGTGGAGCCTGAGGCCGTCCCGAAGCCCGCCCCTCCCCCGGAGGAAGAGTGCTTAAATGTGGACGAAGAAGAAGACCGAGAGGAGGAGCAGGAGGAGCAGCTGGAGCAGCCGGCAAAGGAACCACCCGAGCCAGTCAGCAAAAATGAGCAGCTGTCAGTGAAGAAGCTCCGGGTGGTCCTCTTTGCCTTGTGCTGCAACACAGAGCAGGCGGCCGAACACTTCAAGAACCCCCCGAGGCGGATCCGGCGCTGGCTGCGGAAGTTCCAGGCCTTCCAGGAGGAGAACGTGGGCTCCTTGTCCGAGGGCAAATACCTGAGTTTGGAGGCTGAGGAGAAGCTGGCGGAGTGGGTCCTGACGCAACGTGAGCAGCAGATGCCGGTCAACGAGGAGACCCTCTTTCAGAAGGCCACCAAGATCGGGCGCTCCCTGGAGGGTGGCTTCAAGATCTCCTACGAGTGGGCGGTCCGCTTCATGCTGCGGCACAACCTCAGCACACACAGCCGCCGGGCGGTGGCTCACCCCCTTCCCAAAGACGTTGAGGAGAGTGCCAGCAGCTTCGTCGAGTTTGTGCAGCGGCAAATCCACACGCAGGATCTGCCGCTCTCCATGATAGCGGCCCTCGATGAGATATCCCTCTTCCTGGACGCGGAGGTGCTGTCCAACGACGACCGCAAGGAGAACGCCCTGCAGACGGTGGGGACGGGCGAGTCCTGGTGCGACGTCGTCCTGGCCATCCTGGCCGATGGAAGCGTGCTGCCCACCCTGGTCTGCTACCGGGGCCGTGTGGAGCAGGCCGCCAGCATGCCGGAGACCATCCTCCTGGAGGCCAAGGAGAGTGGCTACCACGACGACAAGATCATGGAAACGTGGGCCTCCAAAGTGTGGCAGAAGCACGCGGAGGCCCAGAATAGCAAAGGCATGCTGGTGCTGGACTGCCACCGGACACACCTGTCGGAAGAAGTCCTCACTCTGCTGAACGCCACCAGCACGCTGCCGGCCGTGGTGCCCGCCGGCTGCAGCTCCAAGCTCCAGCCGCTGGACGTGTGCATCAAGCGAACCGTGAAGAACTTCTTGCACAAGAAGTGGAAGGAGCAGGCCAAGGAGATGGCTGACGGCGCCTGCGACTCGGACATCCTCCTCCAGCTGGTCCTCTGCTGGCTGGCCGAGGCCCTGGAGGGCATCGCCGACTGCCCCGAACTGGTCCAGCAGTCCTTCCTGGTGGCCAGCGTGCTGCCCGGCCCCGACGGCACGGCCAACACGCCGGCCCGCAACGCCGACATGCAGGAGGAGCTGCTCGCCTCGCTGGAGGAGCAGCTCAAGCTGGGCCGGGAGCCCCACGACGACGACGATGACCCAGCCAGCCGGCCCAACGGGGGCCCCCGCGAGGAGTCGGCCGGCCCCGAGATCCTGCACCAGCTCTTCGAAGGGGAGAGCGAGACCGAGTCCTTCTACGGCTTTGAGGATGCAGAGCTGGAGATGATGGAGATCTGAGGGACCCGGCCCCGAGAGGGCTCCTGGCTGCCCCCCTTCGCCTCGGACACCACCGCGGTCGCCTCCCTGCGGATTGGGGGGCGCCGCTGGAGTCACGTCAGTGAACACCTAGACTGGAAGCCACAGGCGGCGTTCTTTCCTAAGGCTTTCTTTTCGGGTTGGGTTTTTTTGCTTTTTTTTTTGGTTTTTTAAATCACTGTATTGGTATTTTCTGAAGAGATCTTGTGGGTGAACTCTTTTTTTTTGGCATTTTTCTTTACCTCACTTGTATTATAGTTTCTGGATTTGTTTTTTTTGTTTTGTTTTTATATTGTGCAAAGAGGTTTTTAATTATACGACATCCACGCGACCTTCTTTTTCGAAGACGAGAAAAACCGATATGTAGCTTAACGAATCCGTATCTCTAAATTTTTTGTTTTTGTCTTGAGTTGTCTTAACACCGTCCCCCGTCCCCCCTCCTTTAACACTTGGACCCAGAGAAGTAGGATTGTGCAGTAACTCCCCCCCCCCCCAAAAAAAAGATTACTTTAACACATGAAGCATTCTAGAACTGCCCATGGAAATTTGGGGTTTCCTTTTTAAATGAAAAAGCAGCCAGTTCTACGTGTGCGTCGTCGTTTGTGGGAGAGAGAGAGAGAGAGAGAATCCCGCCTGTTGTTTTGCCAGCCAGCAAGTGAACCTTTAGACTCGGTAGTACTGTACTTTAAAAAAAAAAAAAATCAGAGACGCACTCATAAAGAAGTTACTTGGACTTCCTGACCGTTGACGTGATAAGTTTGCCTTTCCCCAGCTGCAAAGCCATCAGTCAACTGCTCCCGGGAACTGCTGACAAAGTCGTACTATGGGGAGGGGAGGGACTTAAGTTCGGCCAATCTTTCTGGGTGGGCGATTTGGGAGCGAATTCCGTACTTGGACCACTGACTTAACTTTTTTAAAGCTACCCCTAACCTACCACGGCCTGCGCCTCCGACAGCATCCAGAAGACACTACGTTCCCCAAAAGGCCGCGGCGCTCCGATCAAACCCAGCTGCGACATGCACAATTGGGAGGGAAACTTCTGTTTTTATTTTCCACTGCCAGCGTTAAAACAAACAAAACGAAACAAAAAAAGGAGAAATCTTTTTTCTACTGTTTGCATGTGTGAGAGTTTTTTAAAAATTGTCACGTATTATTATGATCTAAACAAGAGAGGAAAAAAACCCAAAAGCATTTTGACATAACGAAAAAGTGGGACCCCCCCCCCGCCTTGCACCTCGTTTCTGTATGAGGTTTCGGGAGCCCCCCTCCCCCCCCTCTTTCCCCCCACCCACTCCCCAGTGACATGCGGGCAGCAGGAGATCGGGCGGGGCCGACCTGTAAATGGTTCGTCTTTAAAATGTACATATGTGGAACATTTAATAAAGCCAGGGAAATGGATTTATAAACACGCGTGTTTCTTCCGGAGACCGGTGGGAATGCCCAGCAGAAGATGTGTCCTTGGGTGCAGTCCAGAGAAAGCTTGCCCGTAAGTGACCAGGAGTAGAGCCCTGCTGGGTCAGACCCAAGGCCCGTCAAGTCCAGCATTTTGACCGCAAAGCTGTCGATTGGCTGCCTCCTAAGAACATAAGAGAAGCCAATGTTGGGTCAGGCCAGTGGCCCATCCCATCCAACACTCTGTCACACAGTGGCCAAAAATACTAGGGGCCATCAGGAGGTCCGGAAGTGGGGCCAGGACACTAGAAGCCCTCCCACCCCGAAAATGGGCCATTCGGGCCCCTTCCAGGCTGCTGCAGGCCTATTCGGATTCTCTGATCTGAATCAGCTTACTGCCAAATTGTCGCCGAAATTCGGCGGCAATTCGGTCCCATTATATCCTATGGACCATTGAAGTCAATGGGCTGGAGGGGAGGGGGTTTGAGGGAGAGGCTCCAAACCCGCAGGGTAGCTGCGGGAGCCTCTCCCCAAGATACCCACCAAGTTTCAAGAACACTGGGCCAGGGGATCCAATTCTACGGGCCCCCAAACAGGTTGCCCCCATCCCCTCCTTTCTTCTCTATGGTGGGGGGGGGGAGTTACTTTTTTCCCACGGTGCTGTTAGTGGCTCTGGGGGAGAGGGGGTTTGAGGGAGAGGCTCCAAATTTTCAGGGTAGCTTCGGGAGCCTCTCCCCACATAAACCCCCATGTCCCAAAGCAATTGGACCACTGGGCTCAATTCTATGGGTACTCAAAACAGGCTACCCCCATTACCTCCATTGTTTCCAATGGGGACACCCAGCCAGCAGCACTTAAGGCAGGCAAGCAGGCAGCACCCAGCAGTCAGACTCTCCCAGAGGATCTCAGGGAAAGTGAACTGTCTTGGGAGGTGTTTGTTTGCCATGAGAACAAGGGGCACACGCCAGAACAAGTGGCACCGTGGCGGTGCAAGCATGCCAACGTGCCACATAGAAACCCCAGAAGACCAACAGGAACAACATTTATACAGGCCCTGCCCTGTGTAAATTGATGGTGCAACCGCGTTGGACCACTCACACCACACACACCTAGAAAAGAATGTTTATAGCACTGGAAAAAGTGCAGAAAAGGGCCACTAGAATGATAAAAGGGTTGGAACACTTTCCCTATGAGGAAAGGTTAAGGCGCTTGGGGCTCTTTAGCTTGGAGAAACAACAGCTGAGGGGTGACGTGATCGAGGTTTATAAGGTTATGCATGGGATAGAGCAGGTAGAGAAAGGTACTTTTCACCCTTTCTCACAAGATAAGAACTCGTGGGCAATCAGGTTAGAAGTTAGAACAGATGAAAGGAAGTTCTTCACCCAAAGAGTGATTAACACTGGTGGCAAGTGGCTATAAAGAAGGCACTCTTGGTCTCTGGGGCAAGTGATGCTCTGGTGCTGGGGGGGGCAACCCCCTCACCTCTTTTAATAGTACTGGATTACTTATAGTTATTTAAAAAAACAACTCCTGAACACCAGCCACTGACAGACCAGTGCTCTGCTCCAGCCTCCATATGTTTGCAAATTCCATCTGGAAGCTGTTCATGCCAGCCACCGCCACCACCTGTGGCAGTGAATTCCATGTGTAATCGGGCCAATTTTTTTTTTGTACAGCCCTACCTCCCACTGTTGCCTCCCCCCCCCCCAAGCACCAAGAATACAGTACATCACTTGTCCCAGACTGAGAGTTAAGTAAGAACATAAGGGAAGCCAATGTTGGATCAGGCCAATGGCCCCTCCAGTCCAACACTCTGTCACACAGTGGCCAAAAATACCAGGTGCCATCAGGAGGTCCACCAGTGGGGCCAGAGGACACTAGGAGCCCTCCCACTGTTGCCCCCCACCCCCAAGCACCAAGAATACAGAGCATCCCTTGCCCCGTAATAACATAAAAGAGAAGCCAATGTTGGATCCGGCCAGTGGCCCATCCAGTCCAACACTCTGTGTCACACAGTGGCCAAAAATACCAGCTCCCATCAGGAGGTCCAGTAGTGGGGCCAGAACTCCAGAACCCCTCCCACTGTTGCCCCCCCTCAAGCACCAAGAAGACAGCATCACTGCCCCAGACATAAAAACATACGAGGAGCCATGTTGGATCAGGCCAATGGCCCATCCAGTCCTACACTCTGTCACACAGTGGCCAAAACCCAGGGGCCATCAGGAGGTCCAGCAGTGGGGCCAGAAGCCCTCCCACTATTGACCCCCCACCCCCAAGCACCAAGAAGACAGAGCATCACTGCCCCAGGCAGAAGAACGTATGAGAAGCCAATGTTTGATCAGGCCAATCACCCCTCCAGTCCAACACTCAGTCACACAGTGGCCAAAAATACCAGGTGCCCTCAGGAGGTCCACCAGTGGGGCCAGGACACTAGAAGCCCTCCCACTGTCGCCCCCCCCCCCCAAGCATCACCCCAGCCTGAGAGTTCCTCTCTATACCTTGTGGCTGATAGCCACGGATGGACCTCTGCTCCATATGCTTATCTAATTCCCTCTTGAAGCCGCCCATGCTTGTAGCCGCCACCACCTCCTGTGGCAGTGAATTCCATGTGTCAATCACTCTTTGGGTGAAGAAGGACTTCCTTTTATCCATTCTAACCCGACCGCTCAGCAATTTCAAGGAGTGCCCACGAGTTCTTGTCTTGTGAGAAAGGGAGAAAGGGACTTCTTCCTCGACCTGCTCTGTCCCACGCATAATCTTATAAACCTCAATCATGTCTCCCCTCAGCCGTTGATTCTCCGAGCTAAAGAGAATGAAGCAATGCATCCTTTTAAAGGTCTTTTTTTTTTAATGGCAGGAAAAGGAACAAGCACAGTTAAGTTGAGAGCCAGTTTGATGCAGTGGTTAAGTGTGCAGACTCTAATCTGGTAGAACCAGGTTTGATTCCCCACTCCTCCACTTGCACCTGGCTGGATGACCTTGGGCAAGCCATACTTCTGATAAGAGCTGTTCTTGAAAAAGAGCAATTTCTGTCAAGAGCTGTCTCAGCCCCACCTGCCTCACAGGGTGTCTGTTGTGGGGAGGGGGAGGGAAAGGAGTTTGTAAGCTGCCCTGAGACTCCAAGTGAAGGGTGTGTGGGGGGGGGGGTGCTGCTTCTTCATCGTCTTCTTCAGTTTGGTGTGAGAGCCAGTTTGGTGTGGTGGTTAAGTGCGCGGACTCCAATCTGGGAGAACCGGGTTTGATTCCCCACTCCTCCACTTGCACCAGCTGGATGACCTTGGGCAAGCCGTAGTTCTGATAAGAGCTGTCCTTGAAAAAAGAACAGTTTCTGTCAGAGCTCTCTCAGCCCCGCCCAGCTTACAGGGTGTCTGTTGTGGGGAGGGGAAGGGAAAGGAGTTTGTAAGCCGCTCTGAGACACCTTCGGGTAGTGAAGGGCGGGGTATAAATCCAATCTCCTAAGTCAGAACGGTCTCTTCGGCATCGCTTCAAGCAGTCTCCTTCCGAGACACGCCGTCTCTGTTTCTAAGCAGCCGTCGCTCTGGCTTCGAACTGGCAAAGCAGCTTCAAGCAACGAGCTGGGTTTGACCAAGAGACAGGCCTGGTCCTGACCAATGCTCCCTCTAAGCTGTGGAGTCTTGTGAGCAAAAATTCTCCTTTGTGAGCTAGTGGAATTAAAAGTTGTGAGCGAGCGATTTGACTATTGCATAAATTAGTTGGCTCTGGAGCCCTCCTTCCTGAGCGGAGACAAAAAAATGTGAGCGGGAGGCTACAAAACCATGAGCTAGCTCACACTAACCCACCTTAGAGGGAACACTGGGCCTGACCCGTGTTCCCTCCGAGCTGAGTTAGCGTGAGCTCGCTCACAGTATGTTCACCTCCGGCTCACACTTTTTTTGCCCTGTAAGCCGCCCTGAGCCTCCGGGGAGGGCGGGATAAAAATGTGAATAATAAATAAATACACAGGGAAGAGAGGCCAAGGCCTTCCCCTGATGTTGCCTTCTGGCTCTGGGATTCAAAGGGATTGGTGCCTCTGAATGTGGAGGTTCTCCCCGGTCATAATTGCTAATAACCACTGAGAAGACCTCTCCTCCATGAATCTATCTAATCCCCTTTGAAAGCTGTTTGTTCCTTGGGCCATCACTACATCCTCTGGCAGCCAATCCCACATTTGAGTCACTCTCCTTTTGTCCCTCCTGAATCTGCTGCCCGTCGGCTTTATGAAATGCCCTCGCATTCTAGTATTTTGTTGTTGTTGTTCAGTCGCACAGTCGAGTCTGACTCTTCGTGACCCCATGGACCAGATCATGCCAGGCCTTCCTGTCTAGTATTTTGGGAAAGGGTCAAAAAGACAGTGTCATCGATGCAACAAACATGAAGTTGAGCAAACTTCAGAGAACGGCGGAAAACAGGAGGACCTGGCGAGATCTTGTCCATGGGGTCGCAAAGAGTCGGACTCGACTGTGCGACTGAACAACAACAAAAAGTTCTGTCAACTCTCCCCCCACCATTCTCCCCCCAAGTGCCACAATCTCCATGAGCAGAGAGGAGGGAGAAGAGGCCAGGAAAGGCCTATTGACCTCGCTGCAGACATAATGAGCTCTTCTCATGACGCAGGAGACAGGTGGGATTGTGTGCATTTGTAGGGGGCCCACAGAAATACTCCTGCGTGATTCTTCTGAAACCGCAGCGTGGCTCCACGTTAATAGAATGAAATGAATGAGCAGTAGGCTTAGAACAAAGGAAGTCTCTCTTCACCCAAAGATTAATGAACACGTGGAATTCACTGTCCCAGGAAGTGGCGGCTACAAGCATAGCTTCAAGAGGGAACTGGATCAACATTTGGAGCAGAGGTCCATCAGTGGCTATTAGCCACAAGGTGTAGAGGGAACACTCTGTCTGGGGCAGTGATGCTCTATCTTCTTGGTGCTTGGGGGGCAAGAGTGGGAGGGCTTCTGGAGCTCTGGCCCCACTGGTGGACCTCCTGATGGCCCCTGGGTTTTGGCCACTGTGTGACACAGAGTGTTGGACTGGAGGAGCCATTGGCCTGATCCAACATTGGCTTCTCTTATGTTCCTATATGGAGCTGAGGCCCATAAGTAGCTATTAGCTACGGGGTATAGATGGAACATTCAGTCTGGGGCAGTGATGCTTTATATTCTTGGAGTTTGAGGGGCAAGAGTGGGAGGGCTTCTGGAGTTCTGGATCCCCTGGGTTTTGGCCACTGTGTGACACAGAGTGCTGGACTGGAGGGGCCATTGGCCTGATCCAACATTGGCTTCTATTGCGTTCTCACCTGCCAGGGCTCTTCCTTTAAGTGACACCATCTCACGATTCCTGTGACCAGCGTGAAGTTTTAAGCCAAGAAAAACCAACTCCGCGGGGAAGTATCCCCACCTCTTTTTTTTTTGTCTACAATATTCTTTATTTTGTTTACAAAAAGATATCTAAGCATGGCCATCAGTCAAACGTCGAAGAGCTTTGGAGAACATCCCGACAGAGAAGGGGCCAGGGGAGGCCCTCCTTTCCTTCCGCGTCATTCGAAACCACTGGAGGGGGAGGGGAGAAACAGAAAGATTAGGCCCACGGCAGACAAATTTAAACGAGAGGGGGAGAAAGGGGTACAGCGTTCGAAATACATGAAGAAGCCTTCTACTGAACCCAAAAATCAGCAAACACCGTGCTACAGACAATGACAAAGTATCTCAAGTAATTTATCCGTTTTTATATATTTTTTTAATTTTTTCTTATAAATTATTCACCATTATATTAATTGTCACATAAACATTGTCACATAGAATCATAGATCCAAAATTTAGTATCGCCTTTTTATGTAACAAAAGATACTGCACAACCCCTTTATTAATACCAGTGCTCCTTAATATAAAAATGTTTTAAAAAGAAGAGATTGGATTTATACCCCGCCCTTCACTACCCAAAGGTGTCTCAGAGCGGCTTAAAAACTCCTTTCCCTTCCCCTCCCCATAACAGACACCCTGTGAGGTAAAAGAAGAGATTGGATTTATACCCCGCCCTTCACTACCCAAAGGTGTCTCAGAGCGGCTTAAAAACTCCTTTCCCTTCCCCTCCCCATAACAGACACCCTGTGAGGTAGGTGGGGCAGAGAGAGCTCTTGGCAGAAACTGCTCTTTTTTCAAGAACAGCTCTTATCAGAACTCCGGCTTGCCCAAGGCCATCCAGCCAGGTGCAAGTGGAGGAGCAGGGAATCAAACCCGGTCCCCCCCAGATTAGAGTCCGCGCACTTAACCACGACACCAAAAGAGTACCTTTAAGTCTATTTTGAATTTGTGCTCAGTCTTCCTCCAACAGAGGTCCAGAGATCCTCCTGTTTCAGGGTCTTCCTCAGGGAGTTCAACAGAAATTTCCAAACATAAGGTTGCCGAATACCAAAATATTTATCCAATTTTCACCAATGAAAGCTGCAAAAAGTCCCACAAGGCTTCCTCCAAAGTGAAAAGCTACTGAATCCAACCATCAGTCGATGGTCTACTCAGACTAGCAGCTGCTCTCCGGGGTCTCAGGCGGAGGTCATTTCCCAACACCTCCTGCCTGGACCTTCTCAACGGGTGATGCTGGAGATTAAACCCGGGACCTTCTGCCATGCCGAGCAGAGGCTCTGCCACTGAGCCACGGCCCCTCCCCAGACTTGATTTTGAAAATAAATCCTCCAGGTAAAGAAAAGCACACACAAGTTGACGCGCTTGTGTTTTAGATGATCAAACTTAGCCTTATCTCAACCCTGTATCCTTAGAGATCACACATACGTTTAAGAAACCAGTTTTGTGTAGGGGTTAAGTGCGCGGACTCTAACCTGGGAGAACCGGGTTTGATTTCCCCACTCCTCCACTTGCACCTGGCTGGATGACCTTGGGCAAGCCGTAGTTCTGATAAGAGCTGTCCTTGAAAAAGAGCAGTTTCTGTCAGAGCTCTCTCAGCCCCGCCTACCTCACAGGGTGTCTGTTGTAGGGAGGGGATGGGAAAGGAGATTGTGAGTCGCTGAGACTCCAAGTGACGGGTGGGGTATAAATCCAATCTCCTCCTCTTCTTCTAATCTGGGAGAGCCGGGTTTGATTCCCCACTCCTCCACTTGCACCTGGCTGGATGACCTTGGGCAAGCCGTAGTTCTGATAAGAGCTGTCCTTGAAAAAGAGCCGTTTCTGTCAGAGTTCTCTCAGCTTCGCCGACCTCACAGGGTGTCTGTTGTGGGGAGGGGAAGGGAAAGGAGATTGTGAGTCGCTCTGGGACTCCAAGTGACGGGTGGGGTATAAATCCAATCTCTTCTTCTTCTGGACTAGGTGGACCACTGGTCTGATCCCGCAGGGTTCTTCTGCTGATCTTATGCCCCATATGTAGTTCACCACGCCAGGCTAGGCTTCGATCCTGTAGATCCATTCCACTAGTCGTGGCATGTTGCTCCGGCAGATCTTCCCCCAATGTTGCCTCCTGATACTGGGAGTCAGAGGTTGACTGCCTCTGAACACGGAGGTTCCCCTCAGTCACCATGGCTAGTAGCCCTTGACAGACTTCTCCTCCATGAATCTGTCTAATTTATTTTTATTTATTTTATTTATTATTAAATTT